GCAGTTCTAGTTACTCAGGAGGCTGAGGCAGGAGAATCCCTTACAGTTCAGGAGTTTGAGGCTGCAGTGAGCTATGAGTGCACCACTGTACTGCAGCTTGCGTGATATAGCGAGACCCTGTCTCTAAAAAAATAAAAATAAAGAAAAATAGATGCAGTAGGAAAAACACAGAGAAGGAGGACAAAAACATGGAAGCCCATGGGGAAGGGAAAATACCTAACTTACTAATAAAGGATAGCATTTGCCTGAACATTATCTAGAATTTCACTGAAATATGCTGTGTATATATATCTATACTTTATGAAAGTTACATAGTATACAACTTTTAGAAGACTTTTCCCTCAACAACATGGAAAACATGTTCCAAAATCTTGATTAAGTTATGCGATACAGCCATATATAGTATAAACTATTTGATGTAATGGAAGACGATAAGGGATAGGCTACTCAAGCAAATTTTATCTATCTTTATTACAACTCAATTAGACATTTACAATCATGAAACCAAGGTCAAAAATTAAAGATAAAAAACTTTGACCTGTTTTAGTCCAATACTAAATGACACAATTAAAAAACTAGAGAAAAATATTGAAACATGACAAGAAGTTAATGTTTTTATTGATTTAAAAATCAGTATGTCCCATACACTACTCAGAGAATAACTTCTCACTAGAAGTAATAAAGAAATTTGGGAGGAAGAATCTTGAATATTTCTTCAGACATTTAAAAATAAAAAGATTTATTTCAGCCAATTGTTTTAGACTCAAAAATTTTGAATTTTTGTCTAAATTTTAATCTTTCAACTTTAATTCCTCCTCAGGAAATACAGTGGGAAAAAGTTTACATTTAACTTTGAAACATCTATAATGCAGACATTTTATTAATGGAGTATCTATGTATACACTGTAACTGGGAAGTTCATATGTATTTTATCAATACCATTCATCACAGAATATTTGACAAACTATGTTGACTAATATATTGGATATTCTGAGATAAGAAAGGTATCACAGAGTAATTTCTGAACATTGGTTACTAAGAGGCCCTCAGAGTTAACATATTTTTCCATGAAGATGATTTTCCCTGAACACTTCTATTCCCCTGTACCAATTCTTCCCATGGAAAGGGATTATCTTTCCTGATTAATGAGTTTAGGAAAAGCCAGAGCCTTCTCTCCTTTTTCATTGAGAGCTAGCTGTCCACAAAAAGCAAGCGTTCTGGTCTGCTCCTTCATGCTGTCAGTATCACAGGGGAAGACTTTCCAACAGGGGTAAAGAGGGACTTGCAGTTGTATAATGCCAACTGAGTGGATAAATTTGTCTAATTCCAAGTTTGACAGAAGGAAGTCCTTTATGCTGCCCGCTCAAACTACCACCAAACAAGCCTTTTTCAGTTAAAAGGGTGATAATTAGCTTTAAGAAATTAAATAAATCTGAGTGAAGGATGAATAGATGATTCAAAAAAGAAATCTCAATGGCCAAATGTGAAAAGGCATTCAATAGCACTAATAAAGAAACATAAACTAAAACAAGAAACATTTCTCACCATTCTTATTGACAAAAAAGAAAATGCCAAGTGCTGGTCAGTTTATAAAGAAATGGACATTTCTCTCATGTTGTTGGTAAGAATATGAAGTAGTATTATTTTTCAAGGGTAATTTGTCACTTAAAATTTATATAACGTCTTAAAGCAATCCTATTTCTTGGGAATTTCTGTAAATTGAGACAAGGTACAAAGATATCTGTATAGGCTGTTCACTGCAACTTTGCTGATAATTGTATTTAACATTTAAATAGCCTCTATATTCAGTAATGGAATGGTTAAAATACGGTATATCTACACAAAATAATTAAAACTTTTAGAAATGAGATAAATCTGTATGTGTATTGACATGGAAATAAATCCATCAGGTTTTAAATATAGTTTTTTTTATATATACATACAGA